AGCTAGTAACCTTTGTCGCCTTACCAAAATGTCGCCAAGCTACCTATATTCCAAAGATTAGCCAAATTTTTATTTTGAATGACAAATAGTAATTATTTTTATTTTGTTTTACATGGTTTGAATATTTCAGTTTATGCAACTGATTATGCTTTTTTTATTAATTCTTTTATGCCTTTAAATTTAATTACCATATTTGTTATAATTAATTTCAGAACATGTAGAGTATCATATTTTTGTTGGTGAGGATTGTGTTGTTGGTCGGAAAGATGCAACGCTGCTACTTGCAAGTGATCCTTCTGTTAGTCGTAAGCATGCTGTGTTATATGTTAAACACCCAGAAGAAAACCTGGTAAATATTGTCTTTGTTAAAAGTTTACAATTGGGTGCCCCTTGTTTTTTGGCGATTATTTTTTGATGCTAAGAATGGTGCCATGAAGGCACAATTTCTAGATGGCCACTACACAAAACCAAGCTTATGTGAGTCAAAGAATTGCTTGGTGTCCGTGTACACATCGATATATTTTCACTTAAAAAAAAAAAAAAAAAATCAGAGAATTGCACAATCTAGGCATCGTGCACGGTCTTTAACTTTGTTCATGTACACATCGATCGTATTTTCACTTAACCTTTTAACTGTCATGCCCGAAATAATCTCGATCACAGCGCTGGTATTCCAAAATGTCATATTAATGCCGAATATTACTCAGGCTAATTTTTTTTGAGTGCATCATATTGTTATACTCGAATATATATTGTGAGAAGTTTATTTCGGCTTCAGTTCAACAGATGGCAGCATTTTACTGAAGGTTTCAAAGTATAGAGGTTAAAGTTCAAAGTGCGAGGCATTTTTTTTTATTTTTTGACTGCAAGGCAAACATTTTATGTTTGAAATAAAAAAAATTGACAATTTATGCACCCAAATCATCAAAATAACTTGACAGTTAAAAGGTTAAAAAAATTCAAGAAGCTAAAACAAAGTTAAAACTATCATGGTAACCAGAAATAGGCTTTCATCGCCAAAACTGAACAAAATTTGTCACTAATCGAAGAGGCACCCAATTCTACACTAGAGCCCTATCTTTTCCCCCTTAAGGGCTTTATCAGTGCTTGAGAATTGTTCTGTTATTTAAATTTTAGTTTTTAAGTAGTTACAGAATGTATAAAATTTATGTATTGAACTAACAATCTGCATATTGTATGCTTCTTCCCTTTCCCCTCTTGCTCACTATTTTGTCAGTATTGCTGGATTCAATATTTTGTCAAATTCATATGAGATGCTAATTTAGGCTTTAAAAATGTCTCATCAATTTATCTGTTATGACTGAAATTTTCGTATTGATTTCAATAAAGTAATTATACTATAGGTGTGATGAATGGGTTAGGATACTATGAAAGGCGATGATAAGCTAAGTGAGTACTTGGGAAACAAAAAAAGTAAAATTAAAAAGTAAAAGGAAATGAAGATGGAAAAAAAAAAAAAAAAAAAAAAAAACTAAATAAAGTTGAAAAAATTATTTCAGATGCTGCATAGCATCATAATGCATCAATACAAAATACATACAACTCAAAACTGTATTATGAAAAATACATAAAAATCACTTTGACAACAAAACTGTTAAAAAGTGCGAAAGTAAATGTAGACCCTTTATTGTTAATTAGAAATAGGATCTTCCCTTTATGCAAATTGCAGTATAATTTTTTTATCTAAGTTAGATTATGTAAGATAACTATTCCATAAGAACTCAATAATGATCTTACTAATACTCTTTAAAATTGATCGGAATATTTAATACAGTTTAAAAATCGGATCGTCAGGACTTCGCGATTCCGGATTATCAATTTTTCCACATTATAGATCATCAGTTTAATCTCGTAAGATGGCATGCAGAAATTCTTAAAATTAAAATATGAAACCTAATTATGAATAAAGAACAATTATGATTAAAGGTAACAAAATTAAAAAAAAAGCTTAATATTTATTTGTTTACTTGATTAAAATTTTCTTCAATGTAAGTTGTTTAAGTTGCTTCGTTCATGTGTAATACTTTCTCTTTAATTTCTATAACAGACATAATTTTCTTGTCAGTTCAAGTACGCTGAAATCCTATAATGTTGTCAAACCAAATTTTTTGTTTTTCAATAACCTCTGTCACTTTCTAATCGGAAGCGATTATAACGATAGGAACTTGTTTAAATCATATCAAAGACGGAGCATATCGAGATGAAATACTACATTTGTAAGAATTATAAGCCATAAAATAAAAAATCTCTAAATGGATAGGTTGACAGATCACTTCCAATTCATTACTCGCGGCGTTGCCCCCGCGAGAGCGTGAATTGATAAACAATTTCGGATTCCAAAACAGACCTTTCGCTTTAGATCCTTTACCTTGTTACAAATATATATAGGAAATTCTATTTGATATTGAAAGTTAGCTACTTTTATAAATTGCTCTTACAGTCTGCAAAAAATAAGAACCGGATCCAATTCAAAATTAAGGAACAAAATTCACATTAACTGAAAGATAATTTAATTTAGCTTATACGTCCATTATAATAAACGCGCACGTAACTATGCTGCACATGCGCACATGCATATGCGCAGACGTAAGAGGTCTTGCGCGCACGCGCAAACGCCTATGCGCTTGTGTCAACGCGGCGCATGCGCAGAAAGTTTGTAGCTTTGAGGTCCGAATTATAGATCATTCCGGATTATGGGTTTCCGAATTAACGACTTTTGACTGTATTCTTTTATGTGTAAATACATATAGAATCAGCTGTTAAACCTAACCTTATAATTAAAGACGACACAGCCAAATAGCTGTCGTGTTCTCCACTTTAGGTGCAATATTTTTGTGGTGAAATTTTGAAGCATAAACCACTAGCTTTCTGGTGTAAAGCTCATTTTTATGAAGTCTTTCATATACAATTTACTGCATTATTAAAATTCTAATGGTAACTGAAAGCTCTGACTTCAACTGCTAGCAGTCGAGATATTGCTGTGATGAGTGCAGTTATGAAATTAAAATGTAGTTATTGAATTGTTTTCCATTCTAATAACAGTTTCAGAGTTTTTAATATGTTCCTAAAGACAGAGGCTATCTTGAGAAATTCATTCATCTTGTCTCTTGCATAATTATTCTCAACCTTATTTTTAAATGTCAGATATTTCTCTTGATTAAAAATTTTTCCAAATTATACTTAAAAAACCGTTAAACGGGCACCATAAAAAACTGTTTTGTCTCAGTAAGAGCTGAGCTCAAACCTGAACTGTAAAAATTAGAGAAGTACGTTTCATGCAAAGCACATGCTTTGTTTTTAAATAATGCCATGCTGTTATTTGCATCTCAGAACTTTTGAATTGGATTGAAATAATGATAAGATTTGGCTTTTGCTCATGTATTAAAAAAGATATGAAATTCATTGGTTATTTCATAAAATATCAATGATGTTGTAAGGTATTCCTCCCACCTTCTTAGCATGCCTTTGTATTGTAGTGGTCAGCACACTCGGTTCGTATTTGAGAGGTCCGTGGTTCAATTCCGACGAGGGCATTGCTCATTTTTCATCTCTCCTGCTTCCAAATGCCTAATGTTTCTATGAGGTAAAGATAATTTTCAGTATCAGTGTAATAATTTGGCCATGGTCTCTGCTGAAAAAGAAACAAAAAAATTTTTTAATTATATATATAGAAAATATTAATTTACAATCATAAAAATCTTTATTCCCTCTTTTTGCTCGAAGTGAAAAAAATGTTGAGGCATTTTTATAGCAATAGCACTGCCTAAATGTCAAAATGCTTTGTCACTCTTCTGTATGTGTTGTATTTTGCAATTTAACTTCGCCAGTCTTAATATTCAGAGATGCACTGAAATGTTTACATCTTTAATTCATGATATTTGTTATTCTATTGTCTGCAAACTGCAAATACTTAAAATTCCAGAAATCTTGAGAAGTTCTTAGTGATAAAGCAGAGATGTGAGACTCTTGGATCTCATTGCTTCACAATATAAGTGTAATATTTTGAAAAGAAGAAAATGCAACTAATTTTCACTAATTAGTTACAATTAATTAAGTATGATTTACTTACACGTACTATTGTGTGAAATGTTGTTTTACAGTAATGCAGTGTTACTTAGTGATTAAGAAAGTATATACTGTCCATGCTCTTTGCCTTTGTCATATTACACCTGTGTATAATATAAATTAAGTGTAGTTGTGCAAGCTGAAGAAATGCTTACTTAAGTGAGAATTTACCTGTATATGACATTTGAAAAAATAATCATTTATATATTTAAAAAAAATTATCTGTGTTTAAGTTTCTTATTTCAACTTGTTTACTTTACAAATTCAAACTTTCAAACTGGGCAGCAGTAGTTCAAAGGCTACTGGAAAAAGAGATTGAAGCTATTTGTATCATTTGAAAATGATACTTGAAAGTGATTTTACAACTGAAGATGATATTCGTGATGACGTTCTTTTAGCTCTGACAGATCAGAAGGCTGGGATCAGGCAAAAATTAAGGATTGTGTTGAGCTTCAAGAACTCATAAAGCAGTTTAATATGAAAAATGAAACCATCTATATAGGTTTGAAAAGACATGGAAGCTGTCTGACTAGTTATTTGTTTATCTTCTTACTTCATCAGAAAATAAAAGCATTTATGAACTGCATATTGATATGCAATAAAAAATGGATGTCAAAAGATTCATGTATGAAACCATCATAAAACTCAGTGTTCACCAACAAAATGTTTGTCTGATGGATCACTACTAGGACTATTTTGAATTTCTATAAAATGAAAAAACAATAATATCTGCATTCAGTAGTAAACATAATTACATTGGGATTCATTTGCACTGGTATAGAAACAGGCAGTATTAATTAACACTAAGAAGGTTTCTTTCATCAGATCTATATATCCAGCTACACATGGCAGAAGGAATGAAAAAGTGTTATGAGATTTGGTTGGAAGTAAGTTTCTGTTCAGTCCTCGTATTCTTCAGACATTGTGCCATTAAAATTATCATTTTTTTCTGTCAGCATACAACTTATAAAAAATTTAAGATTCCAAAAATCAAGATATCAAAATTAAGTTAATGGGGGGTGGGAATTCTGTAAAAAGAAAAAAAGAACTGAAGAGGAAACTAAGTCACCGGGGGGGGAGTAATAGAAGCTGAAGGGAACTAACTATTTAATGATGCACCCTCTGATCTAACTCTGTCACTTTTGATGAAAACAGGGCAAATTTTCATGAATTGGCTTATTTAGATCCATTTCTGTATTTTAAATTACTAACATTTACATTAGCTTTTAAATTTTTCAAAGCCTATTTATTTTTCTCTGAGGAGGGAAACAATTTTTAACTTTTATTATATAGTAGTAAAATTATTCAGGAATTGCTAAAAAAATTTATCTTACACAAATTATGATTGTAGACTGCAGCCCTATTTTGGTGGAAGAGTTTAATAGCATACTTTTTCTCATTTGGCAATTGCTTAGTTATAAAGGCCATCTTCATTCTTTTGTACAAAAACAGCAATGAGTCAAAATCTTGCATGCAAAATTTTCTAGTATGATTAGGCATATTTTGGTTGCTGCCCATTAACAGAATAGTATCTATTAAAGTATAAGCAAAATTTAATTAGGAATTGAACTAGAGCTCGATTCCTAGAACTTGCAGGCAATCTATTCTTGGCAGCGCATTTTTTACCATCTACTATTGGCCAGATAAGTCTTGACATATTTATGCAACTATCCTGTGCAATATTGTTTAGTCCAATTCTGTTGTTTGACTAATGCAGGTGCATTTTTGCAGCTATGGAACATGTGAAGAGCAATCACTTTCTTTCTGTGAAAAAAGGGTGTGAAAACTTCAGAAAATGTTCAACATCAACAAAGAGTATTTATTCTGTTCCCATGTTTGAATGGGTGTGGTGGCCTTTTATGAGGTATTCAGTCTAAGAATTTAACCGTGCCCTAAATAAGTGGATTGAGGAGATAAATAAAAAGTTCTTTAAAAAGGTTTAAAAAAATTAGTTTTTTGTTGGGATAACTATGTTCAATTAAATTGAGATTATGTTGAAAAACTACATTGTAATGTTCATAAAAATTTATGAAATAATAAAAAAAAAAAATATACATTTCCTAGAACTTTGGAAATATCTCTCATATGCAAAACTGTAATTTTAAGATATAAATTGTTAACTATTTTGATTCTTTCAGTTGTTAACCTTTATTTAATTCTGCTTTTATTTTGTGTTTGGGTAGCTACATTATAAATGGCTTATAGACAGAAGGGCTTTGTACTAGGCTATTGCAATTATGATACTGATTTGTATGTGCAATATATAGAGAATAAGTGTGAAGGTGATTGCAATTACATTGACTACTAATAATCTAATAGTATGACAAAATGGTACAGAGTGCAAACAGAAGAGAAGCATGCCAATGTTTTATATATAAAACATTTTTTAAACACTCTGTGCAAAATGTTTTATATGTGGTACAGAGTGTTCTGTTTTTCATGTAAAAAAGAGAAACTTTTCAAGCATTTGTAAAATCAAATAGATTTAGAACTCTGCTGCATTTAGAGTAACACAATATTTTAGTGTAATATGTATTTATATATCTATTAGTGATTTCACTGCTGCAATGACAATGATTTGACTCAATTTTTATCATTTTTACAATACAGTACAAAGTCTGTAATTTGGACGTCCATAATCCGGAATGACCTATAATCCGGACCTCAAAGCTACAAACTTTATGCGCATGCGTAAACGCATAATGCCTTTACGCATGTGCGTTTATTGTATAATGGACAGTATAAGCTAGGCTAAAATTATCTAATTATCTCAGTTATTGTTGCAGATTGTGCTGTTCCTTAATCTTCTAATTTGATCCGGTTTATTATTTTTTGCTGACTGTTAGAACAATTTTATAAAAATTAAGCTTGAACTTTCGATTATGTCAAAAAGCGTTTCCAATTCTGGAGCTACCAAAGGATCTACAAAGCGAAAGCATGTTTCGATGTCCATTAGCCTTTTGGAGACGGGATGGCCATTATAGGTAGCCATAGAGTCCTCTCTTTGAAAAGACGGGGTTGTCCACTTTAGTGGCCATGTCTTTTCCCCCCATTTTCCAGGCTGAAAAGTGGGTGAAATGTCAAATTTGACGTCCCTAAGTTTAAAACTTATCTCTTTCAAAGGTCTTCCTTTGCGAATAGATGCATCCCTCTGAGAATCCATAAAATAACACAAGAATCTTTGTTGCAAATAGGAGGTGATTTCTTAAAGGGGGGAAAGCATTTGGTCAGATTCCCCATCCTTTGGTAGTTTTACTGCTACCAAAGCCCCAGCCTCAAAAGGTTAAACAAGAAGGGTGTGGTGTAGTGGGCCGAAACGCTATGCTAACCCTGGGTTGTGACATAGGGAAAACAAAACACAGCATAATAAAATTTATTGAATGCTAAAAAAAAATGGTACATACAATTCTGCAGAGAAAAACCCTTTATCACCAAAAATCAAATTCTATTACATTTACGTGCGGGAGCAATTCGTGGCTTCGAGCTTGCGTTTTAACATTGCCAACGATTTAATTTTAATAAGATATTTTAATAACTATGAAACGTATTTGTAAGTTAAAAAAAAAAAAATAATAATTTAGCTTATTCTCACGAGACTCCTGTCCATATAAATCTCAGTCTCTTCTTCTTTATGTAACCTATCAAGTGGAATTGCTGCAAAAATTGAATAGGGCCTATCCTCAAAATTATGCAGGAAGTATTGCATTGCAAGTCCACTATATATGACACAAAAAAAAAGAACTTTTTGAATTTTTTGTGGAAGCTTCTTAAATAGCTTACATTGAAAGAAATGTTTAATAAAGTAAGCAAATAAATCTTAAGCTTTTTTTTTTGTAAATTTTGCTACTCTTTAAATCATAATTGTTCTTTATTTCATAAATTACGATTTCATATTTTTAATTGTATAATTTCTGCATGTCATCTTACCAGATTTAAATTGATGATCTATAATTCAGAAAATCTCTTAATCCGGAATCGCTGAAGTCCCGATGAGTCCAGATTATGGACTTTGTACTGTATTCTCTGACATATAACTATTGTGGAAATTTTATTTTAATTGTATAAAAGTATCAAAACTTCACTGTAAAAGTTTGCGAGTATCAGATAATAATGTAGATATACAGCAAATTATCGGTTTTTAGTGTTCTATTTTAATATGTATAATTATTTGTACAATTAAAATTATTCTTTAAATTTCTCAGAAAGTTAGTGACAGATGTAAATATTCGATCATATTCTGATGGAAGTACAATTTTGTACTTAAAATAGATTAACTTTTTGTTGTTACAGCTAACATAATATACTGCACACTATTTAATATCCCCCCTTTTTTAATAGAAGGATCCCACAAAGAAACCTTCCTTGTTTTTGAGAGATGAAGGATCAAAGTATGGAACTTTTAAAAATGGTGCCAGATTAACAACAGAAGTTGACCTTGAAGATGGTGATATTGTAAAATTTGGCCAATTTGAAAGTGAATTCAGGTGAAAACACTTTTTCCTGCAATATAAATTATGTGGAATTTGCATTTCACATTTCTGTGGTTAAAGTGTTTTGATTTTAGAATAATTTATGAGAAGCCATTTTTGTGTTAATATTTGTTTGTGTTTAACAGGCATGCCCAACCTTTTCCGTGTGTTAACCTTTTTTAAAAGAATGATTTTCTTCATTGACCCCTTACTAGTATACAGAATGCAACGTAATTATAATACAAATAATTGCATATGAGTAACTTAAAGATAACAATTGGGTAGAAAATACAAAGAAAAGTTTTAAAAAAAACAGTGGTTTATTAGAGTTTACAAGTTCTTGTCTTCTGCAGCAGCTTTGATGAGAATGTTGATTTGTCTCGTTTCTGCATTAAGGAGAAACAAAAATGTATGGTTACCATTTTATGCATGTGTATGCACATTTAAAAATCTAATGATTTTTCGTTCATGGTCGTAGTTCCCATTCCTTCAACAAGTAAAAATTTTTGTTTTTAAAATATAGCAATTTTTCAATGATTACCAATCTGTGTATTTCTTCTATGTTGTTTAATTTTAAAACATAATGTTTTTTTGGGGGTGGGCATGCATACTCATAGTTTACATTTCTGTGGCTAATGAAAGTTTTTGCTTTTAAATTATAATGGTTTTTCATTTAAAATACTTATCATGCTTACTGTTTTCAATCTACTATCAACTGAAAAGGAAACTAGCTTTTTTTACAATTTGTGAAAATGGATATTATGTGGAATTATATGTTGGAAAAGAAACCCATTTGGTGATAAAATGTCAGCAGCTATACTGCAGAGATCAATGAAAGGGCAAAGCACAGAGATACAGCTCACCATCACCTTAAATCTATTTAGCAGGGATCATGTTCAGATACCAAGTTAGCGGTGAGATTGTGTTTGAAGCATAATTAGCAGAAATTTTTAAACTATGGTTACAAGAAAGAGTCTCTAAAAAATAAATTTTCCAGTATGTATGTTACTTTTTCAATAAATTGCTAACAAAATTGTAAACTATAGTAAATTAAATACTTTTAAATTTTTAATTTCATTCCAAAATAACAAGTATAATGAGTATTTTGCAATGAAGGACTGCTATATTGACAGAGTGCAAGTATGTTTGTTTCTCACACATGCACAAATCAGTAACGATTTGTTTCTTGCCAATGCTGAAACATGCCAAGTAAGCATTCTTGCCAAGGCTGCTGCAGAAAACAAGGACCAGTTTATGTCATTTAAGAAGGAGGAAGTGTTAATGTTGGTTTGATAACATCTTTTATTTTCTCTTGTCTGACTTTTAAATCCCAAAACTTAATGTACACATGTGTTTTCAGTAAGACTTGCCCTTGAATATATTCTTCTTCAATGCAATCAACTCTAGCATCGTAACATTGAGACAAAATGCATCTTGCTTTTGTGGTTGTATGAGTCATGATGATAATGCATTCAAATCTGCAATGTCTTGAAAGCAATTTGGTGAAGTTTTGCATTCTTTGTACTTTTTGGTTGTGTGTGTTTTCTGTTTTTGTGTATGTATTTCCATGTTTTACTTTTTTTGTTACACCTTTTGCATACAAAATTTATGTATTTAAAAAAAAAGTGTTCATTTTTTTAAAATCTGTTTATTAAGTTTTTGAATATTTGTTTCCTTATATATTTATTTTGTATGTATATTTAAACAAATGTTTTAATATATACAGTACAAAGTCTTTAATCCGGACTCATCAGGACTTTGGCGATTCCGGATTAGGGGTTTTTCCAGATTATAGATCAGCAATTTAAATCTGGTAAGATGGCATGCAGAAATTATACAATTAAAAATATGAAACTGTAGTTTATGAAATAAAGAGCAATTATGACCTAAAGGTATGAAAATTTACAAAAAAAAAAAAAAAAAAAAAAAAAGCTTATATTATTTTTTACTTATTAAACATTTCTTTTATGTAAGTTGTTTAAGTTGCTTCGTTTTATGTGATAATACTGTCTCTTTAATTTCTATAAACAGACATATTACTGTTCAAGTTACACAGTTCAAGCCTTAATTGATGTGCCGAGAATACGACTAACTTGTCAATCAAAATTTTTTCATTTTCACTAACAATTTTTTCACTTTTTTTGCAGCAATTTTGTTTCATTGACATTGAAACATGCTTTCGTTTTGTAGATCCTTTGGCAGCTCCAGAATTAGAAACTCTTTTTGACATAATCAAAAGTTCAAGTTTAATTTTTATAAAATTGCTCTAACAGTCTGCAAAAAATAATAAACCGAATCCAATTAGAAGATTAAGGAACAGCGCAATCTCCAACATTAACTAAATAGATAATTAGATAATTTTAGCCTAGCTTGTACCGTCCATTATACATTAAACGTGCATGCGTAAACGTATTATGCGCATGCATAAACGCATTATGCGTTTACACATGCGCAGAAAGTTTGTAGCTTTGAGGTCCGAATCATAGATCATTCCGGATTATGGATGTTTGGATTAAAGACTTTGTACTGTATTTGAACATAACTTTCTTTCTTATTTTATGATATAGCTTTATGTCAATAAACAACTATCAATTTTACAATAATAATTTTTTTTAATTAATGGTATCTTCATTACGCTGACTAGTTGCCCGTGAATACCATAATGAGTCAATACTAATCCTAATGGAAACGTCTGGTATATAACATTTACATTTATACAACTTTTAGAATAACAAAATTTTAGAGAAAAAATTCATTTAGCATTTTTATTATTACCAGCCATTCCTAATTCCTTCTGATTTTGAGAAAATTTAATTTTAAAAGCTAGCACATGCTCATTGCTGTGGAGGAAGTATTTTATATAAACAGTTTGAGTAACCACATATATTTTTAAATAGTTAGCACCTGGCTTTATTTATTAACTACCAAGCTTTCCTCCTCATACAGATTGGTTCATTTTGAAGTTCATGCAGACCAAAGCTATTTTCTGAGTTGTCATGCTATAGCTGAGTATTTGCAAACATTTATATGAAAGTATGTAATTGTTATAGACATTCTTCATATGGTAAATTAGATTTTCTTGAAGCCTTTTATATTCATTGTTTACCTGCTATAGTTAATATTAATTCTGACCAGTTATTTCCCCAATGCTTTCAAAATTCTAATATCTTAAGCTTTTGTTTTATCTCATTTTTCTGTTTAATTAAATTTTTGAATGATATCTCATTAATATTTTCATTTCATCTCCTCTTTTGATTTCATTATTTATTTAGCTGTTGGCTGTATCCACACTGTAAATGTTTTCTTTAACTCTCTAAGCGGCAAGGCCATAAATATACGGCCTACAATATTTTTTTTTATATCTGTAAGAACGTATATATATGTGCATATTAAAATATGTCAAAGAAATTAAGGCAATATATCAAAAGGAAACAAATCCAGGTATGAAATACTAGGAGAGTTTTTACATTAAAATAAAAAAAAAATTAAAATAAAATAAATTTTTCCTCATAGTAGTTTTGGGAAATTTGTGCTTTCTTAGCGAAAACCTGGCCGCTCAGAGGGTTAAGAGTACAGAATTCTAAATATGTCAGTTGTCCTCAAAATGAATAAAGTTTCATTTAAAATCTATGTCAATTTAAATTGGTTTTATTGCCTAATTTTACATTACACTTATTGATATTGCATATATTATTCAGTTTTTATAATTCTCCATTCTTACTTAATTTTTCCTTTCACACCAAAAATTAAAAAAATTCTTGCAAAAAGAAATGTACATATTAAAATTTTCACCATTAATGCATTTAAAAATATTTTTTTAAACATTATTAACTTGTGCAGTCTTGTTATGTAATTTTGTTTTCAGTTATTAAATTTTCAGATGAAATTATGTTAAAATGTTACTGACAAGGGAAATCAGTGCTGCAGTTTGTGAAATAACTTTTGCTAATATTGCTTGCCTTCTGTTGAGAAATTTAAAACATCTTTCTGTGAAACAAAGCAAACAAAATGCTTAAACCGATTACTGTAAGGAGAATACAGGAATAATGGGAATAAGAAAAAGTTGTTGGTTTAAGGACAGGAAATCACAGAATGAGACATCTGTAACATTATCCAATTTTGTTAAATTATTTCTCTAAATTGTTTAATTTTCTCAAAATTTGCAAAATACTTTCTCAGAATTGTAAAATCTTCTCAAAATATCAGACCTTATGTCAAAAATATCCACTAACAACTCTGCTTATTAACTTTGCATTACTCTTGGTAAAATATTCTATAACAGCGTTTTAATTTGTCACAAATTTTACAGTGTCAAAAACATTTATAACATCTATGTTATATCTGTAACAAAATTTTATCCTTCACAGAAAATCTCAGTAAAATGTAACATTCTGTGCCTTAAGGACTGACAACAGCTTTATTTAATTCCTCTTTGTTGTTGTAAGTTGGCAACCACTTTTAAGATATCTAGCTGTGCCAGTTATTTCTTTTACATCATTCATAAGAAATGTGTTGCATGCTGCTTAAACATTGATATACACAATCTACATGCTCAATACTATATTCAACATTCAGTTAGTTGTTTAGTTTTATTAAACTGATTTTGGTACTTTTCTGTTTTGCCGGCGCAGGTGATAAAGTCATCAATAATGGTGTAACTGATGCCAAACGGAATATCTTCGCTGGTAACCTTTTAAGCTTCATCTTCAAAACAAGTCACAACCATTTTTTTATCAGATTGATTGTTTCTTTCAATACTGGCATACAATTACATAAAATTTTTACCCAGATAGTTCAATTTTATGCCCTAAGGCCATTCGTGGTAATTAAGTCAATAAGGATGCAATCAGACCGCTCACCTGAAGACGAAAATATAGAGAAAGCAAAGTCAATGGTTAAATTCATCAATTCTAACGAGGCTGCACTAGCGAAGTACAGCACTGCAGTTTTACATAATTTCTGAGTAAGCTATTTGTACGAATTGAAATAATTCCTGCATTTAAACTATTCCAAATTAAGATTTAACTTGAAATTAATGTAGATAATTACTAAGATAATTAGATTTTTGTAGCATAGTTTATGTGAGATTAGATCACTTGGGGCCACATGATGTGAACTGGCGAATCAGGGTGCTGAACCATGAAAGCATAGTAAATTCTTAAATTAAAATCTTCTTAAAAAATTATTGTTTTTATTTATTAGCTTTTTAAAAAATTTTAAACTATATTAAAATGTTTATGTCTTCAAAATAAAAAATTCTTAGAACTAACATTTAACATTTTTTATGTGTATACTTGTATACGGTATGTTGTTGCCAATAAAATCTGCTTGGTGAGATTTGTGCCAGTGAAACGGAAAAGTACTCTGATTTTTAATATGTTTTTAAATGTGTATCTCAAAGCTGTAGAATTTCCTTCTCTGCTTAAAAGCTATTATTTTTCCCTGCTATATATAAAAGTTATGTCATAAAATCAACATTGCAGGGTCTGTGCTTTGCCTTTGATAGTTACTACTTCATGCTTAGAGGTTTCTGCTAAAAGAATGTTGAAGATAATTGTTCATAATTTAGGGGGGCATTTTGTACCTGAATGGCAGCCTTCTTGTACACATCTAGTCATGTCTGAAGTTAAAGTAACTGTAAAGGTAGTAATTTCTTTCTTATTTTTTGTCTATCTTAATATCTTCTGAAACTAACATTGGTACGATTAGAGTAATATAAATACTTTTTAAAATTCTGTTAAAATTGTAATTTTCTGGTTTTTGTCTCATAATTTATATATATAAATTATAAATTAAAAAACACAGCAGAAGTACAATATAAAATGGCTTTTTGAACAATCAAGAGTAAACTTATCTGCATGTGAGGTGAGGTAAGATTAGCAGTTTTAAGGCCAAGTATTGTCAGTTAGAAAAGTAAAAAATTTTTAAGTGATCTTTAGATGTAAAAACTGTAAAGTAAAGCAAAATAGTAGCATATTTTGAAATGATGGTGCTATTACTATTCTTCATCTACATTTTTCTTATTTTAATAAAAATATTGATAAAAAAATTCTTCAATTTTATTGTGTTGTAATCTTACTCTTGAGTCTTTGTGAGATAATTATTAATGCTTGAATGATGCAAAACTATTATTGCTGCTTAAAATTTGAGATTTTTTTTTATGTAATGCATGTTTAATATAAGAATATCAACTGTATTTTTAAGGCTCTTTGCTGTTTAGTTTCTGCTAAACCTATTGTTCAACCTGAATATTTTGAAGAACTGAAAAAAAGTTTACATAGCACATCAACTGTCATATCTCCAAATAAGTAAGTATGGAATAAAATTATTTCAGGTATTATGTAGAAATAATTGTCCATTTCTAGTAAATATTAATATTAAACTAAAAGTTGTTACAGAAATATTTTATAATATAAAATAATTAAAGATTCTTTTAGCACCACAGATGCTATTAGTCTCAATCTTCAGTTTTTTCTTGTATCACTTTTCAAATAAAATGTTGTTGCCACCAGATGTTATCACCATGTATTTTATCACAAAGAAATAATATAATATAAAACAAAGTATCACACCACTAAATATTCTATTTGGAATTCAAAAGATATGTTATTTTTTAATATTTTGGGGTTTTGCTGTTGAATATTATGTTGCAAATAGGGGAAACACTGTATTGGGAATTCTAAACAAATGCTGCTTTTAAAAATTTTGTGATTTTGCTATTGAATTGTATGTGGCATAGATGTGAAGAAATGATATTTAATAGTAAAATTAAAAAGATGAAAGAAAAAAAATGTTAGTAGAAGTGGTAATATTAAGATTGAAAAATAATAATAATAAGATTAAAAAATTGCAATATAAGCAAGAGTGGGGGAAATAATAAATCCTCTAGTGTAATGCTAAAATCTGAATCCTTTAAGTAGATCATTATCATCTTTGCCCCCCCCCCAAGTTATTACAGCAAAGTATTTATTTATTATTATTCGGTGTTAGTATTATTAGCTCACATTGGTATTAAATTTTATGCCATCTAAAATCTGTTATTTGAGAAATTAGTAGTTTTAAGTTTTATTGACCATAATGCATTGTAATGTAATTTTTTGTAGCTCAAACTAAATTATATTCAAACTCATTATCAATTCCTAAAATGCATATTAAAATATAAGAGAGACTATGAGCAAGTTCAGTGGTCTGGGTTTTGCATTATCTATTTTTTAATTCATTTATATTGTATTTAGCATTTTAGCTAAGCAATTATTAGTCAAATTTAAGAATATTAACAATGCAGATTAGATTATTCATCCTATTGATAACTTTGAATACTTATAACCACTTGTAGTGAAATTTCAATTATATTCATGTCAAAAATTTTTAAATGTTTAGAGATTTGCTGATGAGCTAATTAGAATTAATTTTAAACATTGAGAAAACCTGACAAAAATACCATATTTACTTTTATATTTTTCTCCTTGGTTTTAACACAAGTTTCTTTAATTCTTTTTTTTTTTTTTTTTTTTTTTTTTTTTTTTTTTTTTAAGTATTCACAGAAGTTTCCATTTTCTCATGGTGTTCAGAAAGTGGACTCTCCTAAAATTTCAAATGGATTCATCCACATAGTGATTGTTTTTGTTTCATTAATTGATTTGCTAGGTGATTTTGACTGATGAGGGTCTGACTTGAAGCAATTACAAGTTTTTTAAGAAAAGGGGGGCAATATGTAAGACTGATAATGATTATGAAAATTTTGCACATGGAAAGACAGACTGAACAGTGAAAAAGACTATGACAGTGGTGATATAGCTGATGAATTGCAAGCTATAGCAGAAGACGTAGACAGCTATTCCAACAGCATTAAATGATTTAAGGCCAAAGGATTAGCAGTAGACTGTAATTAGAACAGGTGAGATTCATGGCACAGAAAGTAATGAAGATAATGATTAGATACTGGTAATTTTAGTATTATTATGTATTCTTATTGGAATATAAGTTTCTTTTAAATAAATAACATTCTAATAGTTACCAATAGTTTATCCATGAATGCTTTTCATTTGTTATGTTCTTACTGTAACTGAGTGTAAGAAATTTAATTATTCACAAAATTTTTCCTCTAATGATTTTTTACAAAATATTAAGAGAAAAAGTGGGGGATATGCGAGTAAATACAGTATTTAATTATCCCAGAATTTTATTAAGTTAAAAAATTATGCATCTTTCCCAAAGTTATAAATATAAATCTTGTCAGCACTGATTTTTTGTTAATGAAGTTTTTTCTAGTGAACATTTAATACCAACTATTTTGTATCAGGCTCATATTTTGTTATTCTTAGTAGTAAATGTACTAAAGAAAAATTATCAATCATTTAATTGTCTGAAACTATCTTTGATAGTTTAAAGACATTATAGATACTGCATTATTATCACCGAGTGCTATGTAAGTCACTTTTCTACTGATTGTCTTTATAGAAAATATTTCCAAAGCATAATATTTCTTCAAAGCAAGATTTAACCTAGTAAACCTGATAATCTCTGGAAAATCCATTAGTTTTGCAATTAAAAAAAAAAAAAAAAAAAAAAAGAAAAAAAAAAAAAGAAAAGAAAGAGAAAAAGGAACTACCACTGTATACTCCTGTCAGAGTATAAGCCAAGTAGTTAGATTTTGCTGCAAAAAATTCATCCAAAATTAAAAACCTTGAAGAAGAGTGAAACCACCTTTGGCTTTCATTTGAAAAAGAATGGGTGTTGGCAGTTTAGAAAGAAAGGACACTTTTGGCAATTAAAATTTCTCTTTCTTAATTCTCCCAATTTTGTATACCTGTATATGTGTACCAAAGTGCTAAATACATTTTTGGTTCCAATGAGCATATGAAGAGAAAAAATGAGGAACTTAATCCCAAGAACTTAATTGGAACAGTAAAGCAGGGTGTTGGAGGTATGCTTGTGTGGGGGTACATGTTAGCATCAGGATTCAGTAATTTAGTATTTATTGATGGCATAATGAACTGTACTCTTTATTTAAATATTTCAAAAGATAATTTAAAATTATCTGTCCAAAATTTGGGTATTAGAAACAACATTTTTCTTATCAGGATAACGATCCTAAGCACAAGGCCCTCAACGTTCGCCTTTGGTGTGTCTATAATTGTCTACAAGTTCAAAAGACAGTCCATTCACTAGATTAGAACCCAATAGAATACATTTGGAGAGAATTGAAGGTTAAAGTGCAAAGACACAACATAAAAAAGGAAAACCGGACTAATAACAGGAACGATGGAAGAATATTGATGTAGATATTACCAAACCAAAACTGGTAAACTGTGTGCCCAGACACTTGAAAGCTGTCTTAAATGCTGCAAGGTATCCTACAAAATACTGACTGATATTACAAATAAATAAATAAATAAAAACTTGTGAACTGAACCCAGACATTTGAAAGCTGTCTTAAATGCTGCAAGATATCCTAAAAAATACAGACTAAGGGAAAATAACTTTTTTTTTTTTTTTTTTTTTTCTTTTTTCTTTCTTTGGGAGCCACTGTAGATATTGCCACTCTGGTATAAGGCTTGATGAGCTCACTTTTATTATTATTATTATTATTCTCAGATGTTGATAAATTGTGATTTTTGTTTTAAAAGTGATTGAATTATGTTGTTCTTATGTTCTGGCTAAGATTTTTATACCTTTAGTTAATTTGTACACAATAGTAGTAGAATTACCAATAACTTAAAAGTTTAAGTGATGCTAAGCCTAAGGAGGGTACCATTTGTTTACATCTGAAACTCTTAGTAGAATAGTGAATTAACTCAGTTGGTTCACCAACTTCAGAATTTTTTTACCCAATGGGGCCAAAAATTAACTTTCAATTTTGTGCACCGAAAATTCTGTCTTCTTGTCCACTGGTCAAATTGCTTGTTTTTGCATAGACTCTAATTTTAGTTGTAAATCTTTTTTAACTGGTTTTAACTGCATTTGGTGTTTTAGGTTTTTTTCTGTATTTTACAATTGTTAATGAAGATTGAGTTTTTATGTAGAACTAATTCAGTTCTACATAAAAATTATTGAATTAAAAATATATCTGTAATGAAATTTGAGGGAATAAATTTAAGTGAATTGCTGCCAAAAAAATGTGTATAATTTAATTAGGCTGTTCAAAGAAGTCGTGGTGTCCATATGAGATTTTTTTTTTTAAATAAGAAAGTTTGTGTGTACAATATAATGTATAAAAATACCATCTAATTAAATGATAATTTTGACCTAAATAATAGTGTTGAATACATTTCTAGAATTTGATTGGTTTGTATATGCATAATATAATTTTATTTTAATGGTATATTAGTTATTTGAATTATTCTTTTATTTCTGATGTACACCCCTCCCCCCAAATTTTAGTGTTAGTCTTCAACTGTGAGAAATTCAGAGGTCAGGGAATTTCTACAGACAAGGCTTTTGAAGTAACCTTGGATGAAGAGATCACTGGGGATAAGATGTGATTGTAAAAATTAAAGAAGGCAGAAGCTTTTTACTCTTGCAGCATCAACATCTTAAGGGTTGTTTATTTTATGTAGAGTAATTTAAAAAAAAAAAAATAGAAGAATAGTAAAGAGTAAAAAAAATTTGTATTTATATTTCTGACCTACCTTTAACATTTATGTGAAATCTTTTGAATCACTCCTTTGTATACTTGCAGCATGCAGCCAGCATCTCTTGAGCTTTTGAAGAAGTGGGCTTTCCATAATTAATGGCAATTTGTTGTTTGTATAGTAATTTTAAGAAACAGAACAACCAATAGATCAAATTTTAAAAAATTGCAATAGTATCCATCAGAATAAGTGAAAAACACACCTATCAGACTAAATTAAAAAGCACAGCAATAGTATCCATCAAGTTCACTCAGAAAAGCATTTCAGATGCGAACTTTTTTTAAAAAAATATATTAATATCTTAACTATTAACAAACAGTAAGTAAATGAAATATGGAACTGGACAAAACTTTGCAGTCTTTTTAGTATGGAAATGAAATAAGTCCTTTTAATCACTTATGAAAAACAATCTTTCAATTAACTAAACAAAGGCAGATATTAAAATTATGCTTATATATTTTCTATGCTGACAAATAATGTCTTATAATTCTTTTTTCTTCAAAGCTATAGATGTTTTTGAATACAGCAGGTACCACTTAATCAACTGTTCATTAAAAATCTGAAAACTTTCAGATTTTACATTATGCTCAAAGGAGGGTTAAATATCATGTTCTTTGCACTTACCATAAAATTCAATTCAACAGCAATATTGCAAAATAATTTTTAAATGAGCA